TGAGAGCAGGATTAGAGAAGCTGTTAGGAGTTCGTGATTAGAATAGGCAGTTTGCCTGAAGTTTGCACAGGGAATTAGGCTGTGGCAAACTAGGTTACAGCTATTTTAGAGAAGAAATAGCTGGGTTTTGTATAGGAACTGTAACAAAGATAGAACCATTCTCTCATGCAACCGTTACGCTTTTAAGAACAAAGAACATTTTAATTGTAACAGCTAAGCCTATTAAACCACATTCACTTTCATTCTGTAACTTCTATTCAATAAACCTTTCTTGTTATTTTTGAAACTTAAGCCTGAGTCACGTGCCATTTGTGGATTCAGTCCCTTTTCTTTTTAAAGCAACCTCACATGTTTTCCTTCAGAGAAGCCAGCTAAAAGACAGTACTTGGTGGTGTTTTAAACAACCTTTTTAACATCTTAAATAGCTAGAGGGTTCCTGTTCATTTATCTTTATGGTGGCAGCGAAGGTTTAAATGAAGAGACATCCCCTCAAGTTTTATCTAGGGGCCAAAGTGGTGTGAATTCCTTATTAAAGGAGGGACAGTGGTGAGATTGTTTGCCCCTGTCCAGTCAGATTGTTTGGCCATAAAGCCTGCCTTTATAATTGGGGTTAGATGGTGGGATTGATGGTATTGCCATCTGCCCGGTTATTATAATTGGTGGGGCAGCGGTGGGTTTGTTTGACCCCCTTCCCAGACGGCCATTCAGGAGGTCCTTATACTGGTCACCATTCAGTGCCTGGAATGATGATAGCTAGAGCAACAAAGCATTCTCAGATCACCTTGGCATTCTAGTTAGCTTTCCTTCAGGCACTGAGCAATACACTCCACCAGTTTCATGCCCAGTGGGCACCACAAAACACAGAATGAGGGGCAAGGTAGATGCCATCTCTCAGGCTGACCAAATCAAGGGAAAGAGGGATAGCAGTGAAAATAGTTGCAATCACTTCTTGAATTGATAGCAGCTCAACTGTTTACATTGGCCAAAAATACAGATGGGGAACCCCTGGTGGCGCTCCATGCAGTCATGCTGGCCACATGACTTTAGAGGTGTCTACAGACAATGCTGGCTCTTTGGCTTAGAAATGGAGATGAGCACCAATCCCCAGAGTCGGACACGACTGGACTTAATGTCAAGGGAAAACCTTTACCTTTACCTAAAATACAGAAGAGCTCAAACATTTCAGAAGTTAAAGTAAGAAATCCTGCTGAAAAAGGACTGGTGAAAATTTTCAAAAAAAAATTGAAAGAGAGACTAAAACTGTAGTTACACTAAATTATATTTTTATAACTTATGAAGCACATACCTCAGGTACTGAAACATTGATTATTCCTATGAGTTTTAAAACTTTATATCTATAGGAAGCTGGATTTATGGAACGGCAATACCAGCAAGAGAACATTGGTCTCTGTTTTAAGGGATTCATGAAAGAACTCATACTTTTATTTTCCAGACTGTATTGATTTTCTGTACAAAATAGTGACAGGAACAACACGTTGTGCTAATAACAAGGTTGGACCCCCTCCAGGTGTCACTATTAGTGGCAGCTGGCAAATATAATCATCATCATCATCATCATCATTATTTGTATCCCACCCCATCTCCCTGATGGGACTCAGAGCGGCTTATCCTCTTCTATTGATATCAGATTTTGTTGTGTTCATAGTACTTCATTTACCTTTTCTTTAAATAACATAAATAACTGAATAATTTTTATTTTTATCAAATGTGCTAAATCTGAAAGGTAATGTGAGTTCATCAGAAGTTATGTAAATAAACAAAAGTAGTACTGGACTTCTTTTGCCCATCTTTGTTGTAGAATAAACTTTCCCCTCTTCCTCTTCTGCAACAAGATAAAAGGGAAATGCTAGAGGGAAGCAGAAGTATTAACTATGCATCTCTGCATGTTTTCCAGTTGCATGCAGTGAAATGCCATATAAATGAAGTTTGAAAGAAACCCCATTGAGTTCAGTGAGACTCACATGAATAGAAATTTGCTGACAATTACATAACAGAAAATATTTGTTTGTATTTATTTGTATTCTCTCTTTCCCTTTAGCCCAAAATGGCTTATAGAACATTCTAAAACACAATTTAGCTAAAACTCACCACTTACAAATTTAGAGAAGAACTGAAAAGCATTAAATAAATAATCATATTTAAACTAAGCACTGAATTAATAACAGCAATAAAATTTTTTAAAAATATTGCAGGAAACTAGAAAGGATTATTAGCCACTTCTTTTCTTAGAGAGGAAGAACAGCTTACTGTACAGCCATATAGTGGCCAAAGGTCTATCTCAATGGGAAGTCCTTCCTGTATCAAAACAAGTAGAACAGAAAGGGAGGCAGTCAAGTGTTAGGGTTTGAGTAGCAGCCTAGGATCAGCTTCAGAAAATGCTTTTATTCTCACCAAATGTGTATGTAGGGGAGATCACAGAATAAAAGTTTTCACCAGCAGATCTTAAAACTTAGGCAAGGTCACATGGCAAGATGTGATTTTCAGGAGGTCAGGGCCAAGAATATATAGTTCACTGGTCAGATCAACTGCAAGGTCATAGTTTCCAAACTATTTTTAATGACAAATCACATTGAGGGTGCTACCAAGGCATATGATGTGTTCACAGATAGGGTCACAGGTGTACACCAATTTTTCCTATGCAAATATACCCACAACCATCACAGAAGCCTATTCATCCAGACTCAGAACACTGTCCAAGAGTGCATGGGCAGTTTCAGAGAAAGGGTAACTCAATCCAACACAGAATGTATTGCCCCTTCATTAATGAGAATCACTTTCAATTAATGTCTTCAAATCTTATCTCAGGGAGGCAGAACAGAAAGATAGAGTCATTTTCGATGTTGAAAGTATTTGAAGCATCCAGAAGCAATAACAGGATTATCCAAGCCCAGGGCATCCAACAAGGTCATCAAAGCTGCCCCATCCCATAATCAGGCCTGAAGTCAGATGAAAATAGTTATACTTTGTCTTGCACGGGGACCCCTCTAGCTATGAAACCACTAGATTAAAATATATAAATGAATTTTAGTAGGTCAGATCTTTTTGTCCCTATTTTGAGTTATCCTTATGTTTTCATATTAGCAGATAAGAAGTAAACATGGACAATAATGTCCACAAACAAAAGGAATTTTCCTTCAGTTCCCACATTTTGAAGTTCCCTGTACAACCAGTTCAGGGGATTCCTCCACCAATGTTAAAACTAGTGCAACCGGTTCACAAAGGATGTGGAGGTGGGTACACTAATGAATTTTTTTTTCTGGCTAGGGCATCCAATTCAAGGAAAAACACTCAGATTGGTATAAAAAATATCATCATCATCATCATCATCATGTTTATTTATATCCTGCTTTATCTCAAAGGAGACTCAAAGCAGCTTACATTAAAAGTATTGCCACACAATTTAAAATATACAAATGAATTCAAACATTAATAGTATTAAACATAATAGTATTAAAAATGAGTTAAAAACCATTAAAACATATTCAAAGCTAAAAAACACAGCACCCCCTGACTTGATCTTAAAAACCTTATTTGTTAAAAGCCTGTCTGAATAAAAAGGTTTTCGCCTACCACTGGAAGTACAGCAGGGAGGCGGCTATTCTGGCCTCACTTGGCAGGGAGTTTCAGAGTCACAGGCAGCCATCAAGAAGGCTTTCTCTCATTCCCACCAACTGAGCTTGAGATGGAGGTGGGACTGAAAGAAGGGTCTCTTCTGAAGCTCTCAGGAACTGAGCAAGTTCATACAAGGGGATGCAGTAAGCCAAATAACCTGGACCTGAACCATCTAGGCCTTTAAAGGGCATAGCCAGCACTTTGAATTGTGCCCGGAAACAGACTGGCTGCCAATGGAACTGCTGCAACAGGGAGATTGTCTGCTCCCTGTAGCCAGTCTCAGTTAGCAACCTTGCTGCAGCTCTTTGGACCAGCTGAAGTGTCTGAGCACTCTTCAGAGGCAGCCCCACATAGTGCATGTTCCAGTAATCCAGACAGGATGTAACTAAGGCATGTGTCACTGTTGCCAGATCTGGCTTCTCAAGGAATGGGCACAGTTGACGCACAAGTTTTAATTGTGCAAAGGTCCTACTGGCCACCACCAAAATCTGGGCCTCCAGGTTCAGTGCTGAGTCCAGGAGGACCCCCAAACTGCAGACCTGTGTTTACAGGGGGAGTGTAATCTCATTCAGCACAAGCTGGATCCCAATTCTTTGATATGTAGAAACTAGGTCTGGGCGGTTTCGTTCATTAATTTCGTAATTCGTTATTAATTCGTTATTTTTTTTATAACGAAGCGATATTGAACCATTCAGGAGCAACTAAAAAATGAAACGAATTTTTCCAATTCGTTTCGTAATTGTTTCGAAATTGTTTCAAAATTATTTCGTTATTATTTCCGTATGTCTGGTGCAAGTTTTATAGTCGTTGTTTGTTTTATCAGTGATAAAAAAAAATTATCACACCAACAGTCAACAACAGAGGGAGAGGGAAGCTTCAGAAGTTCCCCCTGTCCCATTTGGAGGGTTTTTTAGCGTATTGCGCAATTGCGTCCGCCATTAACGAATCGATTCGTTAATGTTTCGAAATTGTTTCGTAATTTCTGAAATTTCGTAAATATCGAACTTTTTTAAAGAAAAATTTCGGAATTCTTTTAAATAATGAAACGCAAAACCCCCCTAAAAACGAATCGAGTTTAGAAACAAATTTTTCCGTGGTTGGACAGCCCTAGTAGAAACAAAGAAAATGGGGTGTTTAAACTGATAATGTAGAAAACAATATGAACATGAATCTCATTAGGATTATTTCATACAAAGATAAATGGAAACTTGGAATGATTCTAAACATACTTACATTGGAGCAAATTCTGAATGAATTCAATGAGTGTTATGATACACATAAGACTTCAACATAGCAAAATATGTACATCCATGGGAAAAATTGCTTACTAAACAAAAGCTGAATCAAGTGAAAAATCCAACTCTTACCTTTGTCACAATATTGTTCATCGCTGTTATCTACACAATCTTGGATTCCATCGCAAAGCCATCGAACAGGGATGCAGTGTGCCTTATTTTTACATCGAAACTGATCTTCTTTACAGTCTGTGACACAATCCATCTGTTTAAATACATTTATATGCTGCAGTATTTGTAAACAAAAAGTAATATATCTATTGACAGAACAGCTAGTATTCGGAAAATAATGGTAAAAATAATTCATTTTAAGATTAATGTTACTAAAATTACCAGAGTTGCAGCAGCTATAAATATTTTTACAGCTGTCCCCCACACTTGTGACTTCTGTAGTTTAGATTATTCATGGATTTGATGTGAAATTTTCTGTCTAGGAATCTGTGTCTTCCAATGCCATACTGTCATACTGTGTTGACATTCTTCCAGTCATGCTGGAGGATTCAGAGATTGTTATAAGCAACACTTCTCTAGGTATCTCTAGGTCATCCAATGAAATTCTATGTTCAGTTTCCAGCAGAAGCTGGACATGCTGGAAGACTTAAAATTCATTGAGAGGTGTTCACTGTTGCCTAACCCCAATGAATGAGGAGGAATAACTGTAATTACAGTGAAGGAGGGCATGTCCTAAACCAGATCTACCTGTTCTTTGGGGCTTTTGTGTCTTACATGTCCATTTCATCTCCATTGCAATTTTTTCTGGGTAAAAAAAATTCAAGAGCAAATAAAGAGAGATTAGCAAAGAAACCTGGCACATAGTCGATGTGGACCAACCACCAATAGGGCAATTATGATGCCCACATCAGTGAAAGATTAAAATTACATTGAACTGATATGAACAGATAGTTCATGATTCACTAGAAATTTCTTTGTATAATGTTTGAGGGATAATCTTTTTAAATTATTTTAATTCTGTATGTTTACTTTGGAAACTGAAGTATTGGTATAAATATTTTGATATAGTCTACATATAGTGATAGTGATTCTATCTTTTTATTTATTGCTCATTTTTGTATTTGGACTTCTTGTTTGATAATTTTAAATAATAATAACAATAATTTTAAAATAAAGGAAACCAAAGCATTAAAAGAGTTCAAGATACTTAACTGCTTACCTCATCAGAGCCATCAGGACAATCATAGTCTCCATTGCATCTGAAAGATGCAGAGATACATCCTCCGCTGGCACATATGTACTCACTTGAAGAGCAGGTTGGAGACACTATTTCAGATATACATTGGCATTAGGAAAACACATTGAGTTGCGAAAATAATATACGATTCAACATTTTTGTGTATGTGCTTTCAAGTCGTTTATCGATTCATGGTGATCCCATGAATTTCATAGGATTTACCTTGCCAAGGAATGTTCAGAAGTGGTTTTACCATTTCCTTCCTTTGAAATAGAGCTTACAAGACCTGGTATTCATTGGTGCTCTCCCATCAAAGCAGTAACCAGACTTGACTCTGCTTAGTGAGTACACAGGATCTGGTGCTTTTAGGATATGTAGGTTTAAGGTCAGCATTCAATAAAACTCGAAACAATAGCCTTATTTCATTTGTTACATTTATGGGCATAAGTCAGGATGTTAAATGGCATGGGGAGTCTAACTTAAATTGCATCCCCCTCAATACAGGCCCTAATCCTCCAGTGTACAGGGGGTAATGAGTCAGGAGATGGGGAAAAATAAGAAGGGATAGGTGTGTGTTTCTTCTCTCCCCAAATGTCAGTCACTGATCATTCCACAGAGTTGGATGTTTGATTTTTAAAAACCACTATACAGAATTCATTGTTCTTGTTACATATTTCTATCAATGGTATATCAGCTTTCTTTTAACTGTAGAGAACTGAATTACTCTTTTCTTCTGTTTAGAGAAGGCTCATCCTGCCAAGAGTAGAGAGTTAAGCCCACCAAATAGCCTCTTTTGTAAAAACAACTTTTTTCCTGTGAAAAATTATTAAATTGTTCTCAGTTACTTCTGCAGTCCCTCAATTGCTACAGAACTATCAAGAAAATCAGCCAAGAAGTTGATATAGAAGAACTTATCATTGTGTTTTCTGATGATGAAAATACATTATAAGGAGAAATAAATCATTTCATTATTTGTTGGCTTCGCTATAGATTCATTGCTCTGACTTGACAACAAGTTACCTTTCACCCTGATTCAGGGTTCACACAGTGATTTTTTTTTTTACATTCAGCAATTTCTTGCTTCCTACCTCTGTGTAGGTCTGCCAGAATGAATTTTTACCCAGCACCATAGTAATGTGCACATTTTAAGAACTAGGAAGTGATAGCTCTCAGTTACCTACTACACATAGCACAACAAGGTTGAATCCAGACCTTTGAACTCCAAACTGCGTTTTAAATGGAGCTTCATAAAAGAATAATAAATTGTAATAATGTTCCAAACATTTCCTTTTCAGTTGCTGGAAGGTTTTTTCTGTTCATATTTCCTCTCCTCCTTGTTCATAATGATTTACCTGCTTCACAATTTTTCTCATCTTCTCCAAGTATACAGTCATCATATCCATCACATTTCCACTTTGTGGATATACACTGACCATTGGAGCACTGGAATTGGTCTTTTAAGCAGCCAGAATCACAGTAGCTCTGTCATAAACAAACATATTTTGGTAAGTTAGCTAACATACATATACTGATAATTGTAAATAAACTGTCAATGGGCAAACCTATATCTGAAAATAAACAATATATGCTGGTTATATGAAGTCTGCTACCTAAGCACAAATTATTTATGTTAATTGTTATGAGGTATAATTATAAAATGGAAAAAAATATTGCCCTTACAGCAATTATAGTAGCATTATATCAATCTACAAATAGTGTTTTAAAATGTTTATGTTAAGTTCCATGTTTTCTCCATGCGGATCAACACAATAATGCATACATTATGCACTATGCATGATATTATATGATATGTCTTCTCCAGAACTGGTTGTAGCTCATTGATTATGCATTTGAGCCATCTAAACTAGGAATTGCAAACAACAAGGAATGATGTGTCATTTTGTTGCACAGGACTGTTCTATTTTTCCTGGGAAGTAATTTTGCCTTGCTGAATTGTTTCTTCATCTCCTTATCAGTGGTTCTCAATCTGTGGGTCCCTGGGTGTTTTGGCCTACAACTCCCAGGAATCCCAGCTGTTAGGATTTTTAAGAGTTGAAGGCCAAAACATCTGGGGACCCACAGATTAAGAACCACTGCTTAGATTGATATTGTAGTTTGAGAAATGCCTGTTGTAAATCCAAAAATTTCAAGACTCTGTCTTATGTGGTTGTTTTAGAGGGCTTGGTTGTGAACAATAAATTTGGTAGTGTGTTCTGGGTGGAAATGAAAGAATGTAAGTAAGCGTAACAGCTTTCAATAGTGTGATGCTTAGAAGTCCATTATGCAGTTGCACAGTGCTGTCAAGGACTTTGCTTTATGCATTGTTCCGGGTTGACAGTAGGATGGAAGTTGTTGAAACCCTGGTGAAAAGCAACTTTGCCACCTGTCCATATATTAAATTTGTCATTAAAAAATCACAGATAGAGGAGATGCTTCTGAATGCATGGGTTGAGAAGGCATGAAAGTGGTCACATATTTTTGGTGCCTAAAGCAGTGCTACTGACATGGAGGTAAATGTTACTCCCCAAATAGGAGTTATGAGTGAATACAAATTGGGAAACGCTTACCTCATCTGAGCCATCCGCACAATCATAATCACCATCACACCAAAATTTTGCAGATATGCAATCTCCATTTGAGCAGTGAAAGTCTTTTTGAGCACAAGTCTGTGGTTCTGAAAGAAGAAAGAAAGCTTTGAGACTCAGATCTTTCAATGCATAATGACCCCCTCTTTCAGAATCTTTACACGAAAATCTAATTGTCTTAAAAGCTTGCCTGTGATGGATTAAGAACTATAATTAATGAGTTTGCTCCTAGCTTTTATGAAGGATCTTCTATTTCTGTGTACATAATTTTAAAGATTCAAAAGAGGGAATAATGGCAGCAACTGAAGCAGCAGCAGGTGAAGTAGGCCTAGGTGAAGAGGAGATGGGACCGATCCTTCACTTGTTTACTTGTGAGTAAACTGATCCTCCCCCTGCTCTGAGAAGGGATTGTGATATTCACAAAAAATAAAGGATGTATAATGTTACAAAACATAGACTCCAGCAAAGAGTAGCAGGCACATAAACAAAATCAGCTATGCATGCCATCCAGCAAACTGCTCCACCCCTTTGCCCAAAGCCACACTAATCAAGTAACAAAACATGATGAAAGACCAGAAAGTGCATAAAATAAATCCCAATTTCTAATAAGAGAAATTACTTACTACAGTTTTCTTCATCAGAATTGTCTCCACAATCATTTTGACTGTCACACCGCCAATGATCTGGAATGCAGTTGCTGTTCTTACATTGGTATTCATGAGGCCCACAAGTCTTTTTATCTGTAAAATGAATGGATTTTCTTTTTATTATCATACTTTAATGCAGTTCCTCATTGTGAAAAATGCACACTAGATTACAAGCTATAGCATATTAATGATATTTCACTAAGTACTGAATCAAATATCTGACACCCATGTCAGAACAAAATACTTGTCACCAGACTATTTCTATGACAATTATTATTGTTCAAATGGAGAATAAATTATTGTCATGAACAGAATAAATTGCTGTGGTACATCTTCTAGACAATCTTTATGAATCTCAGAATAAACCCTTGGAATCTGAAATCTACAATATTTTGTAATCTTTTTTTTTTAAATGCATCTGTGGCAGTATATATTAATTAGTATTCCCTGACAGTTTGGCATTCTCGGAAATTTTGCAAGTGAAGCATAAAAATGCTTTATGTCCATTATAACATATTGAAGGGACATTTTTGAGCTTTACTTAAAACACCAAAAAGTATAAAACAGTGAACAGTTACAAAATGAGATCATTCACTAGATAAAACAATATAAAACAACAAAACAATAATCTCATCAGGAGAGAATGCTTCTGGAACATGGTCATACAGTCCGCAAAACTGACAACCCAGTGATTCTGGTCATAAAAGCCTTCGACAATACATAAAAAAAATAATGGTAGCTAAAGCTGAAAGGAGGAAGACCACAATATATGTGGACTAACAATACAAGAAAGGCAGAACCTGAGTATGCAAGACATTAGCAGAGCTGTTGATGTCTGGGTGTTTTTGATGTATCTCCTTCATAGGGTTGCCATAAGTCAGAGCTGATTTGGCAGTAGTTAACACCAATAAGCAAGAACAAGGCCAAAATGAAATAATGATCATAAAATATAATCCTAATATCCCCTGACATTACTATCAATAGCAAAGAACAAAATTATTCTGAATAAAACATTTAATATTCATTTTTATAAATGAGAAATTTGAACTTTTTTGGAGTTGGCAGTTATTTTGCTTAGTGTTATAGCCAGTTATGTTTTTAATCTATGTGTAAAAAATATATATGTGTGTGTGTATCTCAAAAATATGGACCTGATTTTGCAAAAACAAGCCACCTATGCATAAAACTCTCATCATTTGAAAAGACTGGGCATAGAGTTTGAAATGATGACCACTAGATCTCTCTCCCAATGCAAACAGCCCCTAGCTTCAGTCATTTGTTAACTGCAAAACATAAGGCCTTATGAGAGATTCTGACTCAAACTTGATAACTTGATAGGTCACCAAACCATTTGAAACATTTGTCTAATTTTAATATGTTTTCATTATTAAATATACTACTTCGAAATTGGGTCCATAAGTTTGAAATACCCTGTACATATGCAGGCAGAAAATAATCAATAAACAATTGTAAGAACAACATTGCCTTTCTCAAGAAGCTCCATTCTATTTCACCTTCTCCCCTAAGTCAAATAGCATTTATGGCCTCTGAGCATTATCTTCCCTCATTGGAATGGCCTCCCAGTATAATACAACAAAACACTCTGTGTTTGAATTGTGCCGTTTTGGCTTAATTAGGTATGGTATTTGGAAAATTACTAGTGTACAGAGTACTTACCACAGTTTGCTTCATCAGACCCATCTGCACAATCAGGATCCTCATCACATACCCACAGTTTTGAAATGCAGTGCTTTGTGGTTTTACACTGAAAATGGTCGGGAGAACAGCTGTTTTCCGCTTTAAAGAAAAGAAGTTACTTTAAGTACTGAAATTCTTTTCTAACACAGAGAACTCCTCATTAAGATAATCATAGCTAATTTAGATTTTTGTAATTTACAGTACTCCTTTAATCGAATGATTTAGTTAATTCTATTTGTTTTTCCCCCATCAAAAGAACTCAACCAATTTCTTCTCAGTTAAATTAATTTATCGAAATGATAGTGCTCTATATGTTTTACTGCCATTTATTTTTATTTTCACTATCCTCATCATCATCACCATAATTTATTTATGTAGCACCATCAAATGTAGATAGTACTTTATAATGAAATAACTAAAAACAGTGGATCCTGTCAAAGAAATGCAATCTAAAATATATACATGTACATGCATACAATGAGGAAAACAAAATACAAAATTGCACAATTCAACTGCAAAACAAATCATCCAGATAAAATGCCAAAACAAACAAACAACATATTTCAAAACAAATTGACCAACATATGCACGCAAAATATACAATTCTATAAGACTATTCATTTCAGAAAATGAAGTTCTATTTTGGAGTGTAATTATAGAGAATGTTGTTTTTTTGGGTAGTATGTAAATACTGTAACTTGATATCTAACTACAAATGTCTAGGTAAAGTCCAAACACCCAATTACCATTTTGTAAATCTTATGTTTTGAAAGAGTGCAATCTATAGATTTTAAAAACATTTTTAACATGCCAGTGACAAAACATTTAAATAAGACCACCAAATGCCATTTACCGCAATCCAGCAGAGACAGTATAGGGTAGCCATGTTTATATAGAATTATATAGAGTTCTGCTGCTCCTTGTCACGTAACAAGGATTACTTTGTCAATCTATAGATCCTTTATTTTGCCATCACAAATAAAGAGACCAAACAAAGTATGGTATAAAGTGCCAATGTTTTACCTATTTATTTACTTAGGTATTTTAACTGCTGCAACCTGCAAAACATCCACCTAATGGGATGCACAGGTGTTAGTCCTAAGACCACAGACCACCCTTGGGCCAGAACTGAGGGTAATCCAAATAATCATGGTCGCTAGCCTCAGGTATTTAATGGAAGGTCATCCTAACCACAGAATTTTTCAAGAGTGAGAAATCCCCTTCTAGGTCCAAGGGGAATCCCCTTCCAAGCAAGCCAAGCCTTAGAACACAGATAAGCTGTTCTAGCGGCCCATACTTCACCCACAAAGGGGTGCTATGGTGCTTACCAAATCTACTTTTAAGATTTTTAACATGCCAGTGACAAACCATTTAAATGAGACCATCAAATGTCAATTACCGCAATCCAGCAGAGACTGTATAGAGTAGCTATGCTTATATAGACTTACATAGAGTTCTGCTGCTCCTTGTCACATAAGAGCAAAAAGAGGCTTCAAGGCAGTCTCTCGTTCTTGACTTAAACTGTCTCTATTCATGAGGGGGCCCAACCCCCCTCCCCCCTCTGGCTTAACATTTGAGGCTTCAGGTGGCTTATGTGTAATTTCTAAATAATCAACATGCTCTCTTTGTTTTTCCTCAGCTGAAAAGACCCCCCCTTTTTTTTCTCTATAAGTTTCAACACCTTAATTACTTTGCCATTCCAACTCTTCCTCTCTTTGTATGACACTTACACATAGCTTGGAAAATCTATTACCATTTTTGGTAATCATCTCAATAGGAACAGTCTTTATATATGTTCTACTATATGTTTTCCTCATTTGCTGGGTGTGTGAGGAACTCTGCTTTCTGTTTTAGAAACAGTAAATTATTCATAGTGAACTGGTCCACTTATCTCATAACGGATACATCTGAGCAGACAATTTTGAGTATCTTCAGAAACAACAGAATTTACTATATAATAATATTTCTTATTTTATAAGAGTTTTTTTCTTTAGTTTGCATCAACTCTGTTTTTTGTATTATACATATTTATTTCTTAGTTTGGTAAGTGGATTTTATTCAATAAAATAAAAGACAAAAACAGAACTACTTACGACAGTCTCTTTCATCTTCTTCATCACCACAGTCATCTTGCCCATTACACCTGAGATTTATTGGAATACATTTCTGATTCTTGGTGCACTTGAATTGACCTGACAAGCAAACATGTGTGTCTGGGAGAGAGAGAAATTAAGTAAACAATTTTAAATTCGGTCTCTCTCTCTCTCTCTCTCTCTCTCTATATATAGCATAAATATCAGTCAGTCATTATATATATGACTGATATTTATGCCATATATTTATTTATCTTAATACACATGATATTTTATTTCTGTTTCAATCTTTGAAAAACAATATTTAGATAAAATTATTTATCATAGAAGGTAAAACATATATCCAACATGATACTAGAAGAAGAAAAAACTAGAAGTGGCACTAATATTCACTAGTTCCTTTAGCTCTGCTAGCAGCTACACAAGTACTAGAATAAGCAATAGTATAACATAATAATGCAATTTTAAAGAACTGCGGAAGCACTTTAGTGTGAGTAATACAATTGTGTGTGCAAGTGAATTCAAACTACTGCATGTAGCATTTGAACACTTTGCCTACATTTTCATCATATCAATTATCGATACCATTCATGGATGATACAACAGTGGTGGCGCCTATCTTTTTCCAAGTAGAGTATTTATGTTAATACTATGGATTCACTTGCAATACTTTACTTGGAGATAGCAACTGGTTCTATGCCTATGTTTCAACTTCTTCCATGCCTAATAAAAAATAAATCACTTGAACATTCATGCAACCAACACAAATTGTATAGGTTCAGCATGCTGTAGGAAATATGAAGTACTATCACTATTTTTTAATAAGAGAACATGGCTGGATGTGTAGGTTACACTGTGTCAGAATCTCAGTGCTATTGTGAGCACTTCCCCTTCTATACAGGGTGAGGCAGCATAACTTCCTTTTTTAAAATGCGCGCTATTCAGTTGGCTGAAGACGTATCAGAGAGCTAGTGGTCTCGTTCGAAAGGCGGGAGTATAACGTTCAGTCGCCATCATGCGTTGGAACAGTGAGGAGCGTGCTTTTGCCATTGAGGCCTACTTTTCGAGTGGATTTGGAGTGGCTGGCCAGCTCTCCAGATTTGGCTGCTTGTGATTTTTTCTATGGTTTTTTTTAAATCCTGTGTTTATGTGAACCGTCCAAGGATCCTACAAGATTTGAAGACCAACATCCAGGAAGAAATTGCCAACATAACGCCTGCTATGCTGGCAAGAGTCATGACAAACACCAGAAATCGGTTTACTCAGTGTATGGAGAATGGAGATTGGGGGACATCACCTGCCTAATTTGATCTTCAAAACTACGTAAAACAAAACTTTAGGTATGCGCCTACATTATAAAAAAAATTAAAAATTCTGATTTATACAATGGATTTTATTAAGTTTTGAAAAAAGAAAGTTATGCTGCCTCACCCTGTATAATATAAGAACTTACCACAGTTCATTTCATCAGAGTTGTCTCCACAATCATTTTCTCCATCACATATAAAGGCTGGTAAAACACACAGTCCAGTTCCACACTGAAAACGGCCTGGTTGACATTTAAATTCAGCTGGAGAAAGAAGCAAGTGTGGTACGGTTGCATACATTGCTAACAAAATACCTTAAGTGCCTTTCTAATTCTCACACTTCAATCATATGAAAAAATTGCAAATAACAGTCATTCTAAGAAATATATATATTTAACATTGTCTATGCTCAGCCCAATTAAGTTAATGAAAATGCTCCCTTCTAAATCAAATGTTTGCAATAAACAAGGCAGAATGTCTTTACCCTGTAATTTTTAAAGCAAGAAGATGACTATCACTATTATCCAAGAGATGCTAAATTGCTAGTCTATTTTAATGAAGCAATTTAATGCATTTCTTCTTAGTTAGGCTGAAATAAATGGCTTCTGCCAAATTTCTTTTTGTTATAAACTCGCATCTCCACCTTTTCTGTGCAATTATATGATGCCTAAACACAAGGAGATCTAATTGCCATAAAAGCTGAATGTCTGCTAACAATAAATTGTGCCATTTCCCCATAGGGCATCAGACTGAATGAATAGACCACCAAAATTACTGCATTTGATGCTGCAATCATATACACACTTGTGTAGGAGTAATCTCCATTGAACTCAACTGAGTTTACTTCTGATTAAATATGTAAAAGACTGTGCTGTTTGTTACTTAGTATATTGTAATGATTTCTCTTACTCTGTCTTTGGTAAATAAAACCCAATGGCACACATAAAATACAACAGTGTTCTACTTCAAAGGAAAAAGTAATACCAGCAGAAATACATTTGTGTTTAGCTAAATAATTCACTAGAATTGATATTGCCTTTATTTTAAAAGAACTACCTTTCATAAACAGAATGCAGTGAGTCCTCAGTATCTCCTGAGGTTCCAGGACTTCATGTGGATATCAAAATATATGGAGACTCAAGTCCCATTATATACAGTGGTGTCCTTGAATAAAATGCAAACAGCTCAAATGATTGCCAGAGAGGATCTCTGAAATGGCGGGAGGCTATAGCAGGTTATGCCTACATATCAGCATAGTTCTTGGTGTGTAGATTTTTTTCCAGATAGTTTTTGAATTGTGTTTGATTGAACTCATAAATATGGAGAACTGACTGTAGCTGATTACAAAACGGTTTCTAAGATTCCAGACATCAAGAAGCAGAAAATGTCATCATCGAAACTATTTTATATAACTGTTAACAACTCTATACATATTTATTACAAAATATTTCCTACTGTTATCAAGCATGCATAATTAGGATTACAGTCTTGGAATTCCCAAATGTAAAAAGTATTTTAAAATTATGTTATTTTAAAGCTGTCTGAACTAGATTAATGAATGCTTTAACAAAATATACTACCCCGAGGAATTTAAAACAGGCCTGTTTTGTAACTTGATTGTGTGATTCTCAAGCACAAACTTTGTAGAAAACAACAGAATGGAATGGCAAGAATCACATCCATAAATGTCAGAGTATTATTCATAATTCATGTTATAATTGCAGTTTGGCCAGAAGACCTCTTGGCAATTTTAAAAGACACTCTGAATAGTGTGGTGCATAATTAAGATTATTATGTGATGATTTTTTTTTTGCTTTTGCAATGGTGATGGATATCACAAAAATTATGCACAGATTTTTTTGTTTGTTTTTTTCATCAGCTATTGTTAGCGTTACCATATTTTAAAAGTGGTCCTAGACAATTCTTCTTCTTCCAATGAGGCCCAGGGAAGCCAAAGTTTGGACACCTCTGTTTAAGATATTTCAACAGTTTCTGGTGTAGTGTGGATATGTGAAGGCCCTTTTCACGCTTGAATTAGCATAAGTAGTTTCTATTTTGTTTTTGGTTTTTTTAATCAGTGGCTTTATCATGTCTTTTTATGGTTACTTAATCCATGCTACATTCCTTCAGCTGTTATCAGCTGTTTGACTAAAATATTTAGAATTTGTTAATTATACAGAATTAAGAGTAGCTAGATTCCTCTCTTCCAAGCAATGCAGTTCTTGAACAAAATTACCACCATCCGATTGGTTTTGAAATTATACTAGGTAAAGGTTTTCCCCTGACAGTAAGTCCAGTTGTGTCCAACTCTGGGGGTTGGTGCTCATCTCCATTTCTAAGCCGAAGAGTCAGTGTTGTCCGTAGACACTTCCAAGATCACGTGACTGACCTTGGAAGTGCATGGAGAGCTGTTACCTTCTCGCCGGATTGGTACCTAATGATCTATTCACATTTGCATGTTTTTGAACTGCTAGGTTGGCAGAAGCTGGGGCTAACAGCGGGAGCCCACACTACTCCCCAGATTCAAACCTGCGACCTTTCGATCAGCAAGTTCAGCAGCTCAGTGCTTTAACCCACTGTACCAGCGGGGGCTCCAAAATTATACTAAGGGTATTCAAAAGTTTTGGATTTTTTTTGTTAATTCAAAGATGGATTTTGTTAAGTCAGCAAAGTAAAACTAATTAGTCTGAAGTTAAATTTCTCAGTCCCTACATGCATTTAGAAAATCCTATTCCTATCCAAGTGGATTTCTTACCTTTAAGAAAGAGCATTACAAACTCACCTCAGCATCCCATGTTTGTCTTGCTGTAACCACTGTAGACCTTTTACTGATTCCAGGGAAGGGATTGGGGAGTGCATTTGAAAGTTACCTAGTACAGAAATTTCCCAACATAATTCCAACATAGCCTGTTAGTGTTGGGAAATGTGTTGAGTGGTTACTAAGCAGTCATCAAATGTTTTCCCCCATCCACTCCCTGGAACAAGCAAAACATCCAGTTGGTTGAATCCTCGTTCTTGGAATTGTCTTTCGATTCCTTTGGTTGCACTCTAGTCCTAGAAAGCTCCCTTTATTCCAATATGAAATGTATCAGACTGTTTGTCAATAAGTAAAAATAAAAAGACAGAGGGGAGAAAATCACCCCTGCTGGATATCTATCGGCTGAAAAAGCCTCAACTAGGAAATGCAAGGCTTCACAGTGGTTTTTTCATAGAGCATTTTGACACTATAACAAAATTTGAAAAATGTTCTCTTCCTGGTTTGAAAGTGTTATTTCCTGTTTAATTGTGTAGTACTTACTTTTAAAGTAGTTGTTATATTCCAGAAACTTCATTTTTGTGACTATGTGGAATTGGTTGAGACTCTATTAATTGAAAAACTGTAGGAATATGTGCTGTAGGATGTCCCGCAAAAAGTTCTTGTAGTTGAATAAACTTTTTCTATGTTTTTTAAATGATAGAACCAATTAGGAAGTGCCATTTATAACCCTGAACAAAAAGCATGTTACATAGTGTTATGTTCAGAACAGATATAGTCTGTAACAGAAATGAGCAGGGAAGTTTAATTGTTGTATGCATAATTGTTCTTAAAATGATTGTTCAACATATAGCAATCTTTTTCATTTTATAGTGAAATATGGATCACTAAATCTAATGTTAGCTCAATTTAGAGCAGGTCCATTGCAATGTATAGATTTCTTCATTTCAACTAACCCAATTTAGATGGGTCTGTTCTAAGTGGAATGAACACTGCATTTAGCCCGAGAGAATGAAATCAATATAAAAAAAAGATCCTAAATACTTAGCAATGATTCTATGTCACTCTTCCAATATGAAAATGTTCAGTTTCTAATGTCTGCAATGCTACATTTCAAAAATAGTTTCCATGTATACTTACGGCATTCTTCGGGTTCATCTGATCCATCACCACAGTCATCAACAGTATCACATTTCCACCAGAATGGAATGCATTTGTCAGTCTTGCAGCGAAACTGCAAGTGAAGGAAACAAGAAAAACCTTAAAATAGAACAGCTTTTCTTAAATAACTTCAAATGTAATGGAAATAACTATACAAATAATCAGCGACATGTTCTGTACTGTAGATTGGAACTTATGGGACATTTCAGTAAGTCAGATTTTCTTTCAAAATGCTTTAGTTTATCTCATTATTTTAAGAATTTAATTCTATTCTATTCATGCCATTATTTTTTCCTTGTTATTGTGTGTCTTCAATTTCCAGCTTAATGTTGACTCTAAGGGAAACATATAATACAGTTTTCTTCTTAGATTTTCTTAGAGAGGGTTTGTTTTTCATTGAACTTGAGAGGGTATGAATTATTCAAGGTCATCCTGTTCTCCAGAACTGTAGCCCAGTGCTCAAACTACTATTTTATGCTGACTTTCTGAGGGTGGATCTACAATGACCAATAATGCGGGTCAGAGCCAGCAACAAAAATCAGCAACAGTGATGCTCTGAGCCCTCCGGCCAGAGTGAGGGCATCCCTGCTTCTCAACTTTGCTGAAGCCAGATAGTGGAGCTAGACAGGGAACAAACTGCCACCATTACATTTCCCTCTGTCACAGATGGTGACAACAGTGAACCCGAGGCCTGCCTACTTTTGGGGTCTCCATTGACCTCTTATCATATCTTGTGACACTTTTGTGAGTCAGAAGAAATGGAAGGAGGTCAATGGAGTGCCAAGCATGTGGTAGGCCATGGAAGGAAGGTGTGGGGATACAGTTATCCTGGAAGTTTGGCCTGCTTGAGCTCAGGAAGTATGGGGTGGCTGTCAGGACACCCACAGCCAGTTCTGCACAGGACTAATTGTGGATGTCTTAATACCCTAATCCTAGTGCAGGATTTTGACTTTTTCTGAGTTATTTCAATCTGGGTTACAGCCAGGTGAATCTGGATCAGCCTGCATGCATTTTGTGGTTGATGTAATTGGGGCCTAGGACCTTTCTATGATATCATAAATACACATGAGTTGCAATGACGAGGATTCAAAGATCTACCTTCAAGAGTGACAGTGATGTTTTGTCATACAGAAGTAGATCTAAGTTTATAATGAATGCTCATTTAATTAAGTTAAAAGCAATGGAGATATTCTATATACTCATGTATAAGTTATCCTCCTGTCTAAGTATTGGGGCAAAAACAATGGATGTTTGTATGACACATAGATAAGTTTCTGGTCATTCCACAGAGAGGGGAAAGAACCAATGCTGCCTTAAGGGACCAGTTACTCACACTGTTTCCATTTCTTGGCATTAAAAAATGTCTAGAAGGTGTGCCATACTCGAAAAAGTAGAGGGAGTTTAGCTTCTCCCAGGAAGGACTAAGTTCTTGCCTTTCACCACTCTATTCAGACAAGGGGATGGTTCTTGTTTGAAATGAGATTTAATGTACAGTCCTCACAATGACCCATTGATAAGCTGTTCAGTTGTTTTTTTTACTTTTTGACTACAGTCTCTAGATGTATGCATGGGTATATGTGGTAGTTTCTAATTATAGATGCACACCCACTTTCTTTCAAGTGAATACTATGGAACACAGTGGAACTTTGAAGTAAAAATGCACAGATTATTGTTATCCAGTTCTAAACTCCAACACATTCTCTTCATTTCAAAACATCTAAAGACACGAGACAACTCTTATCATTTTATGTGACAAAGAGTACACTTACTTGGCTGGCCGTGCAATTTGATAAACAGGTCTTATTGTCTGCAGCAAGGTAAAAGTTGGTGGGACAAGCACAAGTGTGTGTTTTGCTAGGGGCTAGGAGACATAGGTGACTACATCCTCCATTAGTTAATGTACATATATGTTTAGGCACTATGAATGTAAAAGAACATAAAGCATATCAGACTTATGGGGAGAGGGAAACAACATAAAACAATATAATTAACATTTCCTCTTAAATCTAGGGTCCATCTACATGAGCCATAAACAGTGGTGCTGGTCACCACTTGGTGCCTGTAATGATGATAGAGCGATGAAGTAACACAGGGGAGGGGAGGAATCACTCCCTCCTTTCCTCCATCTCTTTTCCAGTTACCCTGTTGCTCTAGCAAGCATTATTCCAGGTGCCAAGAAATGAACATCAACATTTTCATACCTGGTGGGCATTGCAATGACTAGAATGATCTAGCAAGTTAGGTGAATTGCCCAAGCCTGGGGAAAAGGCCCAAAATGTGGATGAGCTGAGTACCCCACAACTTGTGTATGGTCCATTCACTACTAGACCAACTCATTTGGCCCATGTAGATGACCCCACCGACAATACTAGCAAAAAAAGTAAACTATCATAGTTAAAAATAAATTTCATGGAAGGTAAAGAACAGCAAACTATTTTGTTTAAAATATATTTGTAGGAATATACAAATGCAATTTTTGCATACAATATAGTTCTTAAGAAATAACGTTATTTTATCATGTCATACTATTCGACCAATTCACAAATCTTCCAAAATATAGACATGCCTGAAAAAAAGTCAGTGTATTCAGATTTCCGCACACTTGCAGAATCTTTCAAGGTGTCTAGAGACAAGGGATTATGATGTATGCCCACAAAATATTATATCCAACATCTGTTCACTTTCACACAAGCTCCAATGCTGGGACTGAGAGAGAATTGATATTTTCTAGGCTAATAAAAGCTGGCCATTTGAGTAACCCTACTCACATTTTCATATCTTCAGTGATTCTAATAACATCTTTAATCTTTTACTTTTAACTTTTTTTGGCAAGAATCAGAAGGATTACAGAACTTTATTTTTAAGCAAAACCATTACAACTCTTAACAATGTTACTTCTAATAATTGCTTGACTGAAAAAATGATAGATATTAATTACCATTAGGTTGTCTATAAGAATGATATATTTGTATATCAGTGATGGCATGCCATGAGTTAATCAATGCTACTTTATCTTCTCCAGAGGTTTTATGGGCACGGTTGACTGCCTTGGTTTTCCCATCAGTCCAGTATATATAGTCTTCAAATAACGTGAGAGCAATCACCCCTAAAATATGTTGATTAGGTACTGCAACAGAATAGAAAATTAATGTTTAGTGTTGGAAGACTGCCAGTTAAAATATTTCATATTGTGAAAGCTGACAAAGACAACTACCGTGTAACTTCTTCTGAATAATTGCTGTGACAACTTGTCAAGCCTAAAGGCTCTTTGTTACCATTTAAAAGTATGCGGCTAAGATTAGCTACATTAGTTCCATTTGGTTAAATTTTCTTGTCCTAAGCATCATGAGATGAATACTACTTATGCATATCCACATGCAACATACGCATTGCTACATTGCTACATACAAATGTGCAAGTACATATACTCAGGGGAAGACTCTTCAGTAAGGAAACAGTGATGCCCTCTTGCCAGATTATCTTCCTCAGGACTTACGTTCCACTCTTTCCTTTTCCATACCTTGTAGAACAATGTTTCCCAACCTTTGGTCTTTCGGGTGTTTTGAACTTCAACTCTCAGAAATTCCAGCCATTTTATCAGCTGTTAGGGATTGTAGGAGGTTGGGAAACACTGTTGTAGAAGCATTAAATCTGTATTAATGGTTGCTGTAGGAGACCACTATTTCCGGGATCTCATATTCTCCTTGTAAATCATTTATAACACTTCCACATGCAAACAAAAATGTTTCAAGGGGGACATCAGAAACCACTTCTAAAAGATTTTCCTCAGTTTACTGAGTTGAATCTGCTTGGGACAGGCTTTTCTGTCTTGATGGGCTGGTGCTTCAGCACAGCCTGTCTATCTTGTTGTTGTTTCGTCCCTGGTTATCAGGTAATTAATAAATGCAAACCATGAGTTAGTACATTATATGCATAAGCCACAGCTTGATGAATCCAAGCATGCATGTGGCCTGTGGTTTAAATTTAGCTGTTAATCCCAATGAAAATAGGCCCATTGGCTCAATAAGTCTGCATATAAGTGTTGACTTAAATTTCAGCAATAGTTGGGATTACCAACTGCCAATTATTTTCAGTTATGGCTTGAGTTATAAGTTTTTAAATCACACTTCTTCACACTCTTTTTAAACAACACTTTACATAGGTTTCTTATTTCAATTCAATCTTTATGTTTGGTGTCATCAAAGAATACAAATTTATATTCCCAACAAGCCTTAAGAGCCAACCTCAAAAGTAATATATTCCTCAACAATACATTTAAAAAACCCTATCACCCTCTAAAGTTGTATGAGAGGCCTGCTCTGTGGGAGTTTTTATAATTTCACCTGAACTCCCTGGACTATACACAATTTACAATAGGCAGACATATCCCATATCCTGAGGATCTATTATGCTGCTTTGCCTGTTCATAAATTATTTAACTATTTTGCATCAACTGTAGAAGTGATATTCACAGTATTGGCCTTATGAAATAGAAAACAGGTTGGAAAACAATTCTTAAGCATTTATAAAGTTAGGGAAATATTTTTTCTTCTTTTCAGAACTAACTTCCCATTTGAGCTTTACTATTTTGTTGTAATTATTTAAAAAAAACTGTATAAAATAAGCAGTAAATATGGATTAGCATAAATATGGAAACACAGAACAAACTTGAAATATAATGTGCAATATAGATACAGCACTTCAGTGTTAAGCAATTTACACACATTATCTTGTTGCAACCCTGAAAATAAATATGAGGTTGAATTACGTCTGTATCATTATCCCTATAAACAATTGCTGCCTAAGATATGGTGAGATTTTAATTGGAGAAAATTGATCTGAACTAAAACTCACAGAAGAACAGGATAAATGGTTGTGATTTTTATCTAATCCATGCAGTTTGTATTGTATTTTTAAAGTAACTAAGAGGGGGAGTGGAAGAAATGTTAGTAACTGATATTTCTATATGCTTGATCACATAAACCTGAATCACATAAACATTTTTTAAATGAGCAGACGGGTTCAGTTTTATCAATGAAGTTAAATAAACATTTTTATTTATGCGAGGTAAATGTACTGCAGGCTAGAATCTTCTATGTGTATCCTTGAATTACACACTTGTGCTACATATTTACAGTCCTTATGAAGCCCATAGTTTGTGAAATATTCAAAACCACATAAATCAGGAATCCACCCCTAAAAATATTAGTGGTCTGTTGCCCTGTCAATCAAGAAGCAGCTGACGGCTGTTCCCAAGTCACATGAGTGATCTCCTGCATGAGGGGAAATTACAACAGGGTCCTGCCTCTCACACCAGAGATTGCTTGTGGGAGAAGATGGAAACAGTGGCTAACTTCTTCCTGGGTGACAGGGGAACAGATGCCATCAGTCAGAGCAGCTGTTTCCCAATATGTAGGGATTGGCGAGTGGGACTGATTTCACTGTAAATACATTTCCATAAATCATATGTAGCTTGAGCTGGAACAGATTCATTAATTAGTTGATTTTCTTTAATAAGAAAAATAAAAATAAAAAACACATTTAAGTTTAAATTAATTGACCAATTCTATGTATCCACATAAATTCAAATTATAATTCATTCTGCTATGGGGGCACATTATCCATTTTTAGTTCAAATTTCTTGACAAATGAATGTTCATTTTTCTCCCACAATAAGTATTATACCTTTAAATGGACAGATTGCCTTGACCTTATTGTTTCTTTGAATGCAACTAACCTTTATTTCTCCGAGAGCCATCCATGTTGGAAAATTCAATATGGTTTTCATCAGCCCAGTACAGTCTTTTGTTGACATAATCTATTGTCAGAGCCATTGGTCTAGATATCTGTGTTTCTACCACAACAGTCTGATTAGAGCCATCCATACCAGCACGACCAATATGAGGATACTCACAGCAATCAATCCAATACAAATATCTAGGAAACAAAATTGATAGCTAGTCTCTATATTGGTTCTTTTAAAAAGAATAACGTAAACTGTTTATATCTTTGGATCATCGTATTACTGATATCAAATTTGCTCCTCTCCCCCAAATTTAATTTGCTATCAACAACAACAACAAAAAACCAGTTAAAAGGTAATAATTTCAAATATCATTGCATTACTGCAGTACTAACCAAGGAAGAGTTTGGAATATTTACTTTTAAGAAAATGTGCTTTTAGTTGAGATTGCTCATTACCTCCCTGCAGGTTGCTGAATTTGGAACCCAGAAACTAAATTCTCTGCCAAAAGAATTTAGAAAATTGCCACAATGTGGGCCAAATCAGAATTTAACATTGCAAATCTTCACACTATTTGCAGTAGTAACTTGTCATTGTAATTTACATGTTCATTGATTTTATTGATGCATTGTAGTTTTTGTATAATGGTGGCATTGAATACTTGCCAAAATCTGTAAGAAGCTCTGGGTTTCTTTCAAGGTGAGAAGAGCAGGGTAGAAATAAAGTAAAATAAATAAATAAATAAGCAAACTTATGGGGGGGGGATGTTTAACAGAGTGCTGAAAACACACACATTTCCTCCTTTTACTACTCCCAACCTTGCTCTGGGTTCACACAACATGTTGGTACTGGCAATGAGAAAAGTAGCAACAAGTATTTTTGTCAAATGTCTTCCTGATGCAAGACAATTTTAAAAAAAACCACAGTGTTTTCTAAGCCTGCTTGCAATTTGGAACTTCGGTACAAAACCCATACATGGTTGGTTTGCTCAAAAAACTGATGTTTCCTTAACAAGTGTTTACTGTGCAAATCATAAAACCACGTTTTATGAAAAATAAATCCCAAACAACAATATTGTCTGCATATAAAAGACATATTCTGTGCAGTAAGTAATATTTTCTGTGCAGAAATTCTTGTTTTCTATGCAAAAAACAAGAATATTTTAAATATTATTTTCATCTCATGATGCTTGTATTCTGTTGCGTAAAAGTGCAGTGTTTCTTTGTCCTTACGGGATGCAATGAATCAGGTCTTTCCTTTTTTCATTTCTTTTTAAACATGCCAAAGTCTGTGCACATTTGTAACTTTATGAATTGCTTAATGCATTTAACCAGAGCTTTGCGGATCTCTGATTCCTGCACATTTTTTCTATGTATACTTCAAATATATGCATTTTTTCTAGATGAATCCAACAATGTGTGGATTCTAGAACCCGAACTGCATCTCACTTGAGATAGTCCAAGAATGGAATCTGACAAAAGGTTCCATGAGAATGAATTTGTTAAAACATGGATAGGCACACATTCTCAGTTTCTATGGTAGATTATATAAACTTCTATTGCCCTTAATAAGAGATTTAATAGATTGATCATATGCAGAATTGAAACACTAAGCAAACAACAAAATGGGTTTTCATTAAGCATAGGTTAAATAAATAAATAAATAAAATCAGTCAACTCCATTACTATTATATTACTGTTGCCTACCCAACTTGAGGATCCAAACAAAGACCTCTAGGGAACTTCACCCTTTTGCTTACAATAACAGTAGGATACAATCCATTGAGTTTTGATACTTCGATAATCCTTTTTTCTGTATCAGACCAGTAAAGATTTTTTCCAACCCAGTCAACTGCTAGTGCATTAGGAACAGCTGTGTTATGAACTACCTAGAGAAATAAAAAATGTATAAGTAGCAGAATACAAAGAACACAACTTTGTTTAAAAGGAGATTAAAAAGGTTTCTTTTGAAATAGAATAAAATAATTTTATTGTACTGATAAATGCAATTTTGTAAATAGTAAAAACCCTACATGTATCTATTCAAATAAAAGTATCCCTATGACAGATTTATTCCTAGGTGTGTAGCATTGCAGCCTAAAGTGAATATTGCTTAAATTATCTGAGAGAAAATGTCCTAATTTATAAAGCAACAATAAACTAAAATGACAGCTGTAAATCAACAAGGTTCTATAAAATTATGCGTAGATAGTAATTTCATTCAACTGTTTTGTTCTTTTTCATAAGAATGGTTGGGACAAAAAGTACCATCATTCCCACTGTATCACCCAGAACACACATCATCTTACTCAATTTTAAAACATAAACTGGATCAATCATGGTTAGTACCTGTGATCTCCAGATAAGACTAAGAAAGAATCTTGTTTGAAACCTTGAGAGACTGACTGCTTGTCAGAGCTAACAATATTGGACTGGATAAATCAATAATCTGAGTAGTTATTAAGCAGCCTCCTATGTTAGACATACCCATGGACATTTTTAAAGCATCATTCTTAACAAAATCCCGTTATATCACTGTCTTTTTTCAGAGATCCTATTACATTCAAATGTCAATTAGATGAGCAAGAATGGCTTCTTCTGGTGCTAGGAGAAGAGTAAACAGTTTCTAAATCAACTGTTGCCTCAGTACAGAAAGAGGATGCTGGCAGCAGTCTTCTTTATCGGAAATATATCATCATCATTATCATCATCATTATCATCATCATCACTATCATCCTGCTTTGATATGAAGAATTCTCATCCTTATCCTTAGGCGTCGACAGGCAATGGTTGCAATTACTGGGTATTACTGTAGGCAGTACCCTATAAGTACTCTATCATTACTGTCATTACACACTCCCCAATGAAATTAGGTTGGCCCCCTCTCTCCTATCCTTTAGATAAAAGCTTAAATCATGGTTGTGAGACCAAGCATTTGAGCAGCAGATGTAGTGCTAATAATGCAAACGATGTATGTGATTGACAATGGACAGATCTTGAATTATGACTTTGGATTTGGATTTGTTTAACTTTTAAATTAATGTTTAGAATTTGTTGTTTTTAACTAATGTATCAATTGTTATTTTATTGCTACTGTTTGTTTCCCATCTTATGGTTGCCAGTTGTGAGCTGACTTGAGTCCCCATCCCCTGGGGGTGAGAAGGACAGGATATAAATGTCTGAAATAAATACATAAATTAATTAAAGGTACAGAGAATGTCTCCACATCTATATCTAGTCAGTTTTGCTTTGTGCATATTCCCATTCAATATTTGCTGCAAACAAAATTACATATCCTGCTTGAGTATGCAAAACAAGTAGTATATGTTCTTGGCGCATAGTATCTGCATTTAGTAATTTTAGTTTATGGAAAGAGCAATGCTGGAAAATATATATAAAGGATCTCAACACACAGAAAAAAAGTTACACCATTTGCTCTATATAGTGAGTATTACAGAATAATATTCACTTCATCATACTATTTTTCCAGTAGCATGTCCTGGAGGAATTGTTCTTCAATGCTCATTACCGACTAACAAAAGTTAAAAAACAACAACACCCAATCCGTTTTGCTGAACTTCCACAAGAGTTTGCAGACGTGTAAGTAAATTGTAGAATGTCTGGAATTTTTGTAATTCAGATAAAAGCACCACAAAAGCACCAGGCAAATTGTAAGCTACAAAATGAATGCATGGATACATACAGATTGCTGATTTCTATAGGGGGGGGGGGACTCTGTGGATGCTGTATTTGCAGAGACCACAGATTAATAAACATACCTTTTATAGGGATGAACAATAATAATACAAATAAAGGTTGAGTGAGATGGTTTAAGTGTAAAGTACAAAATGCCAATAGTACATCCTACATTCCAAATGAAGATAATTGCCTGATATATTACACTCGATGTGAGTTAATTTCCCCCAATCTGTTCCTTTTTTCACAGTGAGTTCACTGCACTTCATTCCGTTACTTGTTTTAAACCATGGAGAATCTTTAAAATTGATTTCTAGACTGCTACATGCACAATTTGTTTGATTTTATCAGTATAACATTTTAACTATGGTTTAATCAATATAACATGTAAGGAAAAAAAACAAGCTGTAGATAGAAAATGGTGGTAATCTGCATGATGAACCAAGTCCAGAAATAAAAAAGGAAAGAAAAGCAGACCATTAATTTACTATGCCACATAAAAACAAACATTATAATTCCCAAGAGTTGTGATAACATCTAAACTGAAATAATAAAATAAAGTATTTTTACAATGAAAACTTTTCTGACCAAGCAAATAAAACAATATACTTAGAGCAAGCAGTATTATTTGTTCTGCAATTGGTTTGTGCACTTTAATGTTTTGTTATTTGTTCTTTCCTCTCTGTGTTTATGTGTACAGAGATATATTTTAGATTGTATACCATTTGAAGGACCCAATGTTTTTGGTTGTTTTATCATAAAGTACCATGTGTAATATTGGTGCTCAACAACAACAACAACATCAACAACAACAACAGCAACAATATCAGCTGATGACCCAAAATGCAGACTGTGCAAGGAAGCTGATGAAACCATTGATCATAACCTCAGCTGTTGCAAGAAAATTGCACAAACGGACTACAAAGACACAACTCTGTGGCTCAAATAATTCACTGGAACTTATGTCACAAGTACCACCTACCAGCAGTAAAGAATTGATGGGATCATAAACCTGCAAAGGTAGTGGAAAATGAATATGCAAAAATACTGTGGGACTTTCGAATACAGACTGACAAAGTTTTGGAATACAATACACCAGACACCACGATTGTGGAAAAGAAAAAAGTCTGGATTATTGATGTCGCCATACCGGGTGACAGTCGCATTGAGGAAAAACAACAGGAAAAACCCAGCCATTATCAGGACCTCAAAATTGAACTGCAAAGGCTCTGGCATAAACCAGTACAGATTGTCCCAGTGGTCATCGGCACACTGGATGCCATGCCAAAAGATCTCAGCTGGCATTTGGAAACAATAAACATTGACAAAATCACGATCTGTCAACTGCAAAAGGCCACCTTACTAGGATCTGAACTCATCATTCGAAAATACATCACACAAGTCCTAGAGGCTTGGGAAGTGTTCGATTTGTGATTTTGTGATACGAAATCCAGCATATATATATCATTTGCTGTGACAAACTGTGTTTTTGTGTCAGTAAAATAATAATAATAATAATAATAATAATAATAATAATAATAATAATAATAACGTAGACCAAACAAATGAAGCAATATGCCAATGGCAGGCACTATGACATAATGCATGCATTGTTGTGAGTGGTAATTTGTTATTCATGACTGTACCAATAGTTGACATGTATTTGTTACAACTGCATTTAAACTAGCGTATAATTCTTTAAAACAATATTCTTTGTATTTGTGAAAGCAGAACATAATGGACGTGTAGATTCACAGTTCTTGAAATATTGGCTCCAATCTTAGGCATATGTATAAAAAACACAGAGATCAATGAAACAAGATGACTTCAATGTGTCTTTTCCAAGTATGAATAAGTTTTGATCCAACCAAAGTTTATTCTGTAGTTATAATTTTTACTGACCCAAACTTTGTCTTACAACAATATTTACTTGGAATTAAAATATTGTTAATACTTCTGTTTTTACTTCCCAATCACCTTGGCATCACTTCCATTCAGATTCATTCTGTTTATTCTGCTACCATTTGGTCTGCTGGAATCTATCCAATAGATGAAATCTTCTCTGTAATCAAAGTCTATTGCAATCACATTGTTTAGACCCTAAAAAAACAAAAAAGAGAGAAGATTAATCTTGTTTATTTGTATACATGTTTTAATAAAATTTGTATTGCAATGCTCACAGGTTTGATGATAAAATATTAATCAAAACAACATAGGCTTAGAGTAGTATGTTTCTTACATATTTGCTTATCTATTTTTATCTTTTGCAACAATATTACTCATGCTTGGTATATAATCTGTCATGGTTATATACCACATTTCACCAAATATAAGGCACCATTGAATGAAAGGTATATCCCCTTTCTGAAGCTTCAATTTTGGACATTTTTTTCTTATAATAGCTTTCACAATTGCTTCTGTATGCACTATGCCTTGTTTTTCTTTCAGTACAGAAGTCATCTTCTCTGCATGTGATTTTTTGCTAGCCTGGGGGGGTGGGAGCAGTAGACGGGGGACTTAAGGTATGACAAGGCAGTTAAGGTAGAACAACAGAAGAATAAAAGCTGATAAGTTGGCCGTCTTTCAGGATATGTGGACTAGCTTCTAGGCCTGTGCGGTTTCGTTCGTTAATTTCGTTATTCGTAAAACATTCGTTATTTTTGGCATATACGAGGCGATATCAAAACACTTTTTCAAACCCGGAAGGGTTTTAAAATATCGAAGCGGCATCCCCCATCCTTTTAACGAGCTTCCGCCCGTTTCGGAAATTGGATGGAGGATGCTGGTGCCTGGGAGCCAATCCGGCGCTCCCAAGCACCCAAGCAGTGCACCGTGGCTGATTTTCATTGGCCGGCAAGGCCTTTAAAAGCGGCTCCGCGTGGCCGCAGAGCTCATTTGCGCGGAGGCGAGGGAGGAGAGAGGTCCGGGACGGGAGGGCTGCTTGGCTTGCTTTGGGTTGGCTTAGTTATTCCTTTTATTTATTTATTTATTTATTACTTGCACTTATTAACCGCCACTCTCAGCCCTAGGGCGACTCGTGGCGGTGTACAAAAACATAGAAAAGACAATTTACAATAAATCGTGACAACAGACAACATTCTACTACTACATAACATCTACTTATACTAAAAATCCGCATCGTCTTAACATGGGGTCATAATCAATCTCATAGTCGTGGTCCATTCCGGTCGTCATATCGCATAGCACTCAATTGAAGGCCATCTCAAAGAGCCATGTTTTCAGGCCCTTACGGAAGGCCATGAGGGAAGGCGCCTGTCTAACTTCAGCAGGGAGGGGGTTCCACAGCCGGGGGGCCACCACCGAGAAGGCCCGCTCTCTCGTCCCCGCCAGGCGTGCCTGTGAGGCAGGCGGGACCGAGAGAAGGGCCTCCCCCGATGATCTCAAGGTCCTTGTGGGCTCATAGGCCGAGATGCGGTCTGCAAGGTATTTTGGGCCGGAACCGTTTAGGGCTTTGTAGGATAGCACCAGCACCTTAAATTGGGCCCGGTAGCAGATCGGCAGCCAGTGGAGCTGGAACAACAAGGGCGTTGTGTGCTCCCTGCGTCCCACTCCTGTTAGTAACATGGCTGCCGCGCGCTGAACTAGCTGAAGCTTCCGGGCCGTCTTCAAGGGCAGCCCCACGTAGAGAGCGTTGCAGTAGTCAAGGCGGGATGTGACCAGAGCGTGTACCACCGTGGCCAAGTCAGACTTCCCAAGGTACGGGCGCAGCTGGCGCACGAGCCTAAGCTGTGCAGATGCTCCCCTGGTCACCGCTGAAACCTGGGGATCCAGGCTCAACGATGAATCCAGGATCACACCCAAGCTGCGAACCTGCGCCTTCAAGGGGAGTGCGACCCCATCCAGCACAGGCTGTAACCCTATGCCCTGTTCGGCCTTGCGACTGACCAGGAGTACCTCTGTCTTGTCTGGATTCAATTTCAATTTGTTCGCCCTCATCCAGACCATTACAGCGGCCAGGCACCGGTTCAGGACCTCGACAGCCTCCTTAGTAGCAGGTGGAAAGGAGTGACAGAGTTGGACATCATCTGCGTACAGATGACACCGCACCCCGAAACTCCGGATGATCTCACCCAGCGGCTTCATGTAGATGTTAAACAGCATGGGGGACAGGATGGAACCCTGAGGAACCCCACAGATCAAAGGCTGTGGTGTTGAACAGGAGTCCCCCAACAACACCTTCTGGGTACGACCCTCCAGAAATGACTGGAGCCACTGCAAAGCAGTGCCCCCAAGACCCATCTCTGCAAGGCGCCCCAGAAGAATACCGTGGTCGACGGTATCGAAGGCCGCTGAGAGGTCCAGGAGCACCAACAGGGACACACTCCCCCTGTCTAGCTCCCGGCGCAGATCATCCACTAAGGCGACCAAGACCGTCTCAGTACCATGTCCCGGTCTGAAACCAGACTGTGCCGGATCCAGATATCCGTGTCTCTCAAGAATACCTGGAGTTGTGAGGCCACCACGCTTTCCATGACTTTGCCCAAGAAGGGAAGATTGGAAACAGGCCGAAAGTTGTCGAATTTGGTGGGGTCCAATGATGGTTTCTTCAACAGCGGCTTTATAATAGCCTGTTTTAGGCTCGCTGGAATCTTGCCTTCCCGGAGGGAGGCATTAACCACCACCGTTACCCACTCAGCCAATCCCCCTCTGGCCTCCTTCAGAAGCCAGGATGGGCAGGGGTCTAGGATGGACGTGGGGGGCCTCATTCCTCCAAGTATCTTGTCCACATCCTCGGGTTTCACAAACTGAAAAGAATCCATCAAAATAGGACAAGCAGGTGCTCGTGTCACATCCACGGAGACTGCATTTAACGTGGTGTCCAGCCCAGAGCGGATCAAAGCGACTTTGTCTGCAAAGAACCGAGCAAATGCTTCACAGCGCGTGGCCGAGTTGTCAGGGCTCCCACCTGAGGTAGGGGGAGTTAAAAGGCCTCTGACAATCCGAAACAACTCCGCCGGACGGTTTTTTGCGGACGCAATAGTAGCCGCAAAGAAAGTTTTCTTTGCGGCTTTTATTGCCGCGGCATATGCCCTTAAAAAGGACACAAACCGTGCTCGATTTGGCTCGCTTGGGTCCGAGCGCCACACGCTCTCTAGTTCCCTCTTCCTTCGCTTCATCGCTGCCAGCTCCTCAGTGAACCAAGGAGCTGGTTTAGCTCGGTTACTTGAGAGGGGACGTTCCGGAGCGATCCTGTCAATTGCCCTGGTCATCTCCCCATTCCAGAGAGCGACCAAGGCCTCGACATGGTCACCTACCGAGGTGGCGGGAAAATCCCCAAGAGCCGTCAGGAATCCATTCGGATCCATAAGCCTCCTGGGGCGGACCATCTTAATGGGTCTTCCACCCCTGCAGAAGTTAGTGGGTGCAGTGAGCCTAAACCTGATCAGGTAGTGGTCAGTCCATGGCAACGGAGCAGTAGTCAGCTCCTCTATACCACCACCATCCCCCCATCCCTGTCAGAAAACCAGATCTAAAGTGTGTCCAGCACTGTGAGTAGAGCCAGTTACTAATTGGGACAGCCCCATGGTTGCCATGGAAGACATGAAGTCCTGAGCCGCTCCCACTAGGGCAGTCTCGGCATGTATATTGAAGTCCCCCAGCACAAGGAGCCGTTGGGACTCCAATGACAGGCTCGAGACCACCCCCGCTAGCTCAGGTAGGGAGACTGTAGTGCAGCGAGGTGGGCGGTACACTAGCAGAATCCCTATTCTGTCCCGGTCTCCCACCCTCAGGTGGACACATTCAAAATTGATCGACTGTAGGATGGGGCCTCTGGTCAGAGGGATTGAATTTCTATAGACCACTGCGACACCGCCTCCCCGTCCTCCGGATCTCGGTTGGTGCTGTACGGAGAAACCTGGAGGACAAAGCTGGGTGAGATTCACGCCCCCAGCTTCATCCAACCAGGTCTCCGTGATGCACGCCAGATCTGCCCGCTCATCCAGGATTAAGATCCTGGATAAAGGTCGTTTTTCCGTTGACAGATCTGGCGTTCAACAGCACCACCTTCAATCCAGAGGGCCCGCTCACCTGGTTACACCAATTTACCTTAGGAGACCGGTTTGGGGTTATTAATGTAGATAAGCGGTCCGAATTAGGCCGAATTTGAGGTCTCCTTTTTCCGCATCTCCTCCTTCCCACCACGACCTCTATGGGGGCCCCTCGGCTATTGGAACACCTCCCCCCCTCCATGCCGCAATCCAAAGTCAAGAACTTGCTTCCTGCTTTGCTCGTTGTTGGATTTTCTGGTTCTTGCCAACATCCTCTCTCCCCCTCCTCCCTCCTCCCCACCCCATTTTCCTTTCCATTCACAGGCTCCAACCCACCTCCTCTCCTGCCCCCTCCACTACACAGTAGTAACAGGGACAGTACATAAAGGGGGGTGGGGAACCACATGGGTAGCAGCAGTACAGGTGGTGGTAGATGTTCCGGCCACACCGGTCAGATAGTTCTTAAAGTGCACAGGTTTTAAGATCCACACCGTCAATAGTAATAATCAATCAGCAACAACACTACGTGTCGTCGGGCTTGCATTGGTGCTTGCATTGTTGGAAAAGACTTCTTTGTTGGAAAAGACTCTTCTGTTTGTGTTTGCTCTCGACTGCCCTGTCTTTTGGCTGTGTTAGCTGTTCATCAGGGCCGTTTTTGGGTTGATTTTCCATTTTTGAATATTTTTAAAAAATACCTGTCTTTTATTCTTTAAAAAAATACAAAAAATATTCTAAAAAAGAAAATACTCTGTTGGTGTGTGTGCTCTCACTTGCCCTGTCTCGTGGCTGTGTTTGGTCCACATCAGGGCCAGTTTTTGGTTAATTTTCCATTTCTGAATTTTTTCTAAAAATACCTGTCTTTTATTCTTAAAAAAATACAAAAAATATTCTAAAAAAAGAAAATACTCTTCTGTTGGTGTGTGCTCTCACTTGCCCTGTCTCGTGGCTGTGTTAGCTGTTCATCAGGGCCAGTTTTTGGTTAAGTTTCCATTTTTGAATATTTTCTAAAAATACCTGCCTTTTATTGTTAAAAAACCCCAAAATATTCCAAAAAAAGAAAATACTCTTCTGTTGGTGTGTGCTCTCGTT